GATCTTTAAAAATATGAAATGTACTAACATTTGGTTACAGAAAAAAGCATCCTTTGGTACAAATGTTTTTTATTCTTGATTGTAAAGTGGGTTTAATGACCGTAAGGCTATTTGTTATTGTCAGGTGCTGTATCATTACACAATACACATTTAAATGACACGGGTTACCTGCCTAATTACCTATCATTAGAAGGACTTCAAAAAAAGGTTTAGAGTTAGGGTTAATGCCCGTTAGGACAGCCTGGGTTCGGAATTTGCTCTTTCTTTACAGCCGGTTATTATTCACAACAGAGGTGATTGATAATACCACAGGAAGGAGGGGGCTCTAGTCAAAGATGCAGTGTGATAATTAAGTAATAGCTCACCACAGGCCGTGGTATAGGCCTACGCTTATTATATCACCGTTAAGGGGCATTGTTTGGCCCGACGCCGAAAAAAGGTTACCAAGTATGGCAACAAACGCACTACAATTTGACTTTATTTTATAAACAGACGTTTAAGTTTCACCAGGCAGCCGTAAAATAATAACTATAATAGTAATATAATAATAGCCTATAATAATTTAATATTATAGGCTTACCTACCATAAAGGGCAGAGGGCGTGAGACCCCCACGAAGCTCAGATTATAACTCGAACCCTGTTTGTCGCGGAGGGATCTGTGCGAAGGAATTCGACGTCATACCCGTTATCAGATTGCTTGATTTAAGCTACCCGTTTTATAATCTGACTTATCTGGGTCTCTCCCACAGAGTCATGGAGAACCTTAAACTAACAGTTGTGTGAAAATACAGGTGTGGAACATGGAATCAAGAATATCTCCCACAATCACGCAGTAGGCCTAATTGGGTCACTTTCTTCAGCAGTACAATCAAACCTCAGGAATCTAAGTGTTATCGACATGTCAAATCTTTTACCCGTTCATTATCTCATCTTGAAACATTGATAAGTTTAAACCTGTTCTCTCAAAACCACAACTTGACAAGGTAATTCATGCATTTATTTCATCCAAGTTAGAGGCCTCAGCAAGTTGTCCCTGAACTGTCTATGGTCCACAACGCTGCTGCAAGGCTCTTGACCAGGGCTAGCCAGACAAATCACATAACGCCAATCCTGTATTCATTACATTGGCTCCCTGTTATGCTCAGGATTCAGTTCAAAGTGCTCCTTTTGACATACATAGCTCTGCATGGTCAAGCACCCAGGTAGGCTACATCTCAGTCCGTGTAACCCCAACACTGGAACGCTCCTTCCTCAGACCTACGCTCCGTGGTCTCAGTTGATGCATTGAATAAACAGTTGAAGAGTCTTTTATTTAAGCAGGCCTTTCCAGTGGTACACTAGTTAATTAGCCTATTGTATGTTGCATTAAAGGAGTTTATTTTTTTAGATGCTTTTTTGCTTGCGCTTGCTTAGATGTAGTAGGCTATAAAGACTGGAAACAGGCAGAAACAGCTTGCATGGCTCTGTCCAAAGTTAACTAAATCCACATACCAGCAGCTCTAAAGCTAATAAATTGCCAGTTCTTGTTTATCCACAGTTAAGCGACATGTTGTGGTTTACAGGTGGATATGTGCCCGTCCTGCTTTTTGGCTGAGAACAGTGACTTCTTGCAGTCTTCTGGTTCACTGATGTCTCTTAACAGAAAGTTAAAACGAGGGGGGGGGACAGCTATCAAAGAGATGGATAGAGACAGAGAAGGTGTATCTGACGTTTCTGGAAATCCGTTGTCCTTTCTTTCATGGAGGTGAAGTGTCTGTCCCATTGCATGGCACTGTGACTTGATTATATTGTTAGTTTTACAAGTTGTTTATATTGTTTGTTTGTGCCAGGCTTGGCAGTTCATTATCTTCCCCATCCATTCACAAATATGCAGGTCTGACTAGTAAGATTAGGATTTAGTTGTTCTCAGCATCTTCTGCTTAAGAGCAACTTCCACAATAAGTTCCTCACTGATATCTTTGGCAGGTGCTTAGTCAGAGGCAAATCCACGTGCCCTCTCAGCCAAAGATTCTGCCTCAGTTTTTATGACTGGATCTGTGGCTTTGTCCCTCACAGCTAAAAGTGCATCTCTAGCGGTGTGTGTGTGTGTGTGTGTGTGTGTGTGCGCGTGTGTGTGTGTTGCGTGCAGCTTCCCTGTCAAACAAATGTCTTTATTGAATAAAGAAATCAAAATATCAGGTCTGGAAATGAGACTTTGTCCAGTTCCGATGTCCTCCCTCCCTCCCCCTCTCTCTCCCTCCATGTCTCCGCTTGTGTGGAGGTGATGGTGATGAACAACAGACTAAGCAGCCGGTTCCTGGAGTATCCAGCTAATTAGCCAAAAGACATATAGTTAACTTGTGTCTTGCTAACATGTGTGACTCATGAGCTAACTAACGCCTACAGGCTAATTGTACAATGGAGACACTACAGGTGAACACACTATGTTGTAAATTCCCTGTTATTACTGTGTTTTTGTGCAGGAACTGTTCAGTGCTGAATTGTTTTTACATCAGGCACCTCGTTGGACAGCTGACGAGGTGTACCTTCGTTCTAGTTGATTTTACATTGATGCCTGTCTGCGTTTGTGATGAAGGTGGGTTATAATGACCCTTTAACGAATGCTAATGAGCTATTTTGATTTGCAAATGAAGCGGCGGATTTCGGTGCTAATAAAGGTAACGTTACTTGTGTAGCAGTGTTTATTTGATGTTTAATATGCTAATTGACTTGTTAACTGTTGACTAAGTTTAAGCCAAGTTTAAGTTCAACATGTGCGCATTAAGCTTGCGCACCTTCTTTTGTTCATTGCAGATACCGGTACAGAAAAAGCCTCAGACAGTACAGAAACACAACAGAGACAAATTGTAAAGAATCAAACTGTGAACAGCAAACCAGAAACGCCAAGCTCTATGTAATTTGGAGTTGTGCTTCATCATTAAAGCCACGTTAACTGTTCTTCCTCGCCCTCTAATCAGTCAGTGTCTGTGTGTGGATGAGGTGTTCCAGCGACTCTGCCTAAAACAACAAACAGTCCTAGCTCTTCGTAACACACTAAAATGTGTGTCTTAATAACATAATCACAATTTCCACATTGATATGCAAATTAAGCACTAACTAATTAAAATGTGCTGATTTGCATACACTAGACAAGGCAAGGTGAATAGGATAAACAAAATAACTAAAGCATATCACCACAGTACTTCCCCAGTTAATGACTTACCTCAAGAGGCTTTTCCCCTGAAAGGTTATGTTACTGTAAATAGGCTATACAGATTTGTTTGTTTGGTTAGTTTAGAAGAAATCTACAGATAGCTTCCAACAAACACCATCTAAATGTGTATTTTCCATTAAAGTCGAAGACTTGGAAGCAAAATAGACCAAAATCTCAAAATTGAACTCTACTACTCTCTAAAAGTGTCGTGCCTTAAACAGTAACTTCATTATTTTGATCAGTCATCATTCTTATGTAAGAGGTGTTGTTTCTCCTGAAAGGTCCAGCACATTAAGACAAATGTGGACACGCGTCATTTTCTTAGTGTCTTTCCAGCGGCATGTCAATTTTCCCGCTGTCAGTGTCAGATGTAACTCTTGTCCTTCCACAAATGCACAAACTGTCTCCTTTTGCTGTATAAACTGAAAGGTTGAAGTTGACTTTCTGGCCCAAGAAGTCGTGTTCCTCAAAAAAGACTGGATAGACACATGCAGTTCCGTCTTGTGTGGCTTTGTCATTTAATTGTCTACTCTGTCATAGGTGGATGTTGGGGCTTGAATATTTTATCTGCAGCCCACTACTTCACAATCAAGGATCTGCCTATAGTGAAGGACTAGCAGATGTGAATTGTGGTCCAGAGTTGTCCTCCGACTCCACGGACCACTCACTAACTGGTTGCTACCACTAGCTTCAGTGCCCCCATCATCATGTAATGTATACTCACTGGCCACTTTATTAGGTACACTTTGCTAGTACCGGGTTTGACCCCCTTTTGCCTTCAGAACTGTGGCACACTTTCAACAAGGTGAAACTTTCCTCAGAGACTATGGTCCATATTAACATGATTGCATCATGCAGTTGCTGCAGGTTTTTTGGCAGCACATCCATGACGCGAATCTCCCGTTCCTCCACATCCCAAAGGTGCTCTGTCTGGCGTCAATGTGTTTTACGTTCAGAGATGGTATTCCGCATACCTTGGTTTTAAGTGTTTTTTTGAGTTACTGTTGCCTTTCTGTCATCTCGAACCAGTCTGATCATTCTCCTCTGATATCAGTAAGGTATTTTTGTCCACACAACTGCCGTTCAAAGGATCTTTTCTTTTTTTCAGATCATTCTCTGTAAACCCTGGAGTTGGTTTTGAGTTAAAATCCCAGTAGATCAGCATTTTGGCACCGTCAACCATGCCACGTTCAAAGTCACTTAATCCCCTTTCTTCCCCATTCTGATGCTCATTTTGAACTTCAGCAAATTGTCTTGACCACGTGTACATGCCTAAATGTAATGAGCGGCTCCCATGTGATTGGCTGATGAGCTATTTGAGCTAACAAGCAATTAAACAGGTGTACCTTCTAAAGACCAGTGAGAGTATTTTCCCCCTTTCTTTCCTTCTTTCTTACTTTAAGACAGAAAATGATACAGAATTCTATGGCTTTTGCCCAAAGGTGTCACTTTGTGTTGAAAAGTGGTGGGGACATATTTTCTGCACCAGTTTATGGTGGAAATGTTTCTATTTTTCTATAGGGAAACAAAATTTAGGCAGCGGGTAACAATTCAAAATATAAAAAAATAATGGAATATAATGCAGTAATCAGTAATCATTTTTGTTGGACAGTGCACATTTGATCCTTCTATATTTTAATTAGTAAAGCAATTTAACTCTGGAAAAACAAATAGCAGACACACTATCTATCTATCTATCTATCTGTGCCATGTAGTGTCCAGCAGATGGCGCTCTTGCCACATTATTTCTGTGGAAAAGAGGCCAGACCAAAGCAATGGACCAGATGGGGGCAGGTAAACTCACCGGAAGTTACCTTTAAATAATGACAAATGAAGTGGTAACCCAACACAAACGAAGTTTATACCCACCATATCGGTGTTTGTCCTAGCTGCTGCTCCGCTCTGCGACAGTGATGGATGTATCGTACTGGTCGCAGAAAATACACGTGTAAGTTTCTTTTTTTTTTACACTTTGAAGAGATGTTCAACTAGCTCAGCCCTGTTAACCTTGGCTAATAATGAACACGACGGTGTGATCCCAGACTTAACGTTCATTCAGAGATTTAGGCTACTTTCATCTCGTGAGTGAGTCTGACGTAGCCTGCTCGGCTTGTGACTTTAGCGAGGAACAATGTCTAAGACAAAAATCAGCTCTAGCTCCTTAAAAGCAACAGCCAAGCTAACAGGAAATCAGCTGTTAATAATAATGGATCACCGGTGTGGTGTTTCAAGTGTTTAGATGTGATGTATTTTTGCCAGAAATGTGCAAATTGATTGAAGCATTTGCGGTCACTTAGCAGGATTGATCAGCAGGATTGTTTGGACAGTTCAGACAAAACGATAGACTCGATCCCTGTAATGGCCATTTTTTACTTTTCTTCTGATATTTTACAGAGTTAATGATGAAGTAGGAAAATAATCAGCTGAACCCCGTTGATTGTTGTTATTTTTGTTAGTTGCCTCCATGTGTAATTTGTTTATTTAGATCTTCCTTTTAACATCATTATTTAACTCCCCTTAATACATGATACAAGATACATACTTTCACTCTCAAAGTGGGTTTGATAAAAAAAATTTTATCCAAAGTGAGCCCTAATCTTGTAAAATCTTTCACCAGTCCCACCTCTGTAACTATGTAGGCCTATATTGTCCAAGGCTAATGAGGAAGTCATTACATTTGGTGTGTTTTTTTGTTTTTTAACAATGTATGTTTTCTATGTAGAACACAAAATGAGATTAAAAATCAAAATGAATCATGTTTGACACATTAGTAAAATATGTATTTGTTCCTTGTATACATGTGTTTTTCAGCATTCAGCCCTCTTTCCTCCATTTGGGGATGGAACTGCAGAATCAAAGTTGGGTAGAAACTGGTAATAAAATAGAAATCTTTATAATATAAATACTGAAAATAGTGGCGTCCTAATTTCAATTTATTTGCCTGTCCTAAATGCTCTTATACTTAAAAAATTTCACTAGGCTCATGAGGCATCACAATGGAAAGGGTCAGTGCTGACAAAAAAAAAAATGTGTCTACATGTTTAATCAGGCAGACTCTTTCTTGAGGGCGTTTATCCAGCTGCCATGTCTCAGTTTTTTGTTTTATAATGAGGTATAGGTGTTCAGGAATCTCATTGCTTAAACATGCTTCACATTTTTTTTCTTTTATTATAGTATGCGGAAATGACTTGTCTTTCCTGTGGAACATGAATGTCAACTGCTGGATGTCCTGATTTATACCTTGTGTAATCACCAGGCCCATATTCCCATGTGGGATGGGCCATTTCACTGCTATGACATGATCATAGAAAAATCCTTTTCAGTTTATACATTTATCATACTGTATGTGTTTGAAAAGGAGACTGTCCATTTGATCTACAGTAGTGCTCATATATTATCATTTCATTTGTCTGACAATAATCTAAACAGTCATTTCTCAGTTAAGAGAAACCCAAAGATATTTAGTTTACCATAATAGAAGATCCAAGAAAATCAGCAAATTATCAAATTTTAGGGAAACATGGCTTAGATGAGGCGTTGATGTTAAATTGTAACATCCAAATTTCAAGTCCAGTCGTTGTCATGTGTCATTCCCCATGTTCGGTCATCTCTATACATGCAGTTAGAAAATAAAGATAAAAAATGTTTAAAAGATAATTTGTTTTTTAAATCACTTTTGAGAGGCTGGAATCGACACTTTTTTTTGTCATCTTTCATTAAAAAAAGGTTTAATCGATTATCAAAATAGCTCTAGTAGCCTATGATAAAGTATTTTGATAATAAATTATACAAACTCTAACACAATGAGAAGTTGTAATACAATGGGTGAAGTTATAATTGTAAAATGTCATCAGTTTGAAGATAATATGTGCAGGATTGCAAAGGGAGTATCTGCTGAGCGTGGGGATGTGTTAAAAAGTACAGCAGGAGTTGAACTAATGACAAACTGTAACTATAAAATATTAGATTGAAGGTTTATTCTTGACCTCGGAAACAGCAGCTGACATAACTGTCTCACCTGAAGTTTCATTCAGTCGCTGTTCTGGAGCCTTTGATCGTTGTAGTGGCGATGGGTCATGAAACGGGCAGGAAACATCACAGCAGATCCATCTCACCACAGTCACAACCTGTTCCAGCTTCTCACCACTGGTAGGCGCTACAGAGTACTGTACGCCAAAACCAAGGCCCAATCACAACGTCCCCCTCACAGACTCACAGACTTTGAGGCGCGTTCCCGGGAAGTCAGTGAGGGCTCAGGGTGTCCCACTGTCAAATCGTCAAGTGCGCAAGGGCTCTCTCGCGGACATTTTGAGCCCTTTATAGACCCTTTTCGTAAGTCCGCATTTCTGCGGACTTTGGCTGCGGGAATTGCCCACAGTTCATAGCGATATTGACGTTAAACACAGGGGTTACCAGGGGAAGCCCGGAAGCGAGAGAAGTATCACGGCACATCTGCCTACGACACCTACGCTGATGTAGAAAGTTTTCTTAACGTAAGATGGTGCAGAGGAATGCAATCACCCTATTACACACTTAGTTTATTCATAATTTATTTTAGTTTTTGCTTAATGATGCTATTTGGCCAACAATAGTGTATTGATTAATTACAAATATATATATTGACATTTAGGCCTCTCCTCCACTCTGTAGGACAAGAGCATGCAGGACTTAAAAATAAGGCAAAAACATAAAATAAAAAGTGTGCAACGTGTTTCAGCGTCGTCAAGGTAACGTGATAAAGTGGCAAAGTGCTGTCCCGTTCCTGTTTACAGCATTTTGAGCCCTTGTAGCCTCTTAAACTCAATCACTTTCCAAGTGACATCAGTAAAGTCTGTGAGGGTTCAGGGCTTAGGGGGGACATTGGGATTGGGTCCAAGAGACTCCGGAACGGTTTCTTCCCACAAGCCATCGCTCTGAACAGCTGACTTCTGACTCATGGTGTCAGGAACAACTCCTGTGCAATGACCCAGTAACTCTGCCTCTAATCAGCCACCTGTTTTCTGGCTACCACCTATTATTTATTCATCATTCTCTCGTTATCTATTTCAGAGCTGTTCATACTGTTCATATGGCTATATTGACATACTGTATACCAAACCTACCTACTTCAAGTGCATAACACCTGCACAAAATACTTATTTATTCCAGCATCCTTTTCATTATGCTCCATCACACTGTGTACATCACACTGTGTACATGTATGTGTACCTGTATATTTCATCTACTGCCGACATAATAATGATGATAATTTACTCCTGCATCCTTTGCACTCTGCTCATTGCACTATTGTCTTAGTCTGTCTATATTAGTTTTGTTTAATGTTTCTTTAGTAAAAAATAGCCTGTTTCATAATGAAAACCCCCTCTCCTGAAAATGGTATGAGTAATGGTTGTTTTGTACGCAACGTCAAAACATCTAAAGTGCACTGCATTCGGCAGTCCATGTATGTGTTTATGTAGGAGAGAGAGAGAGAGAGAGAGAGAGAGAGCATGCGCTGACATGAGTAAAGCAGGTCTGCGGAGAGCCCATTTACTGGACCTTTTCAGGGGCCCAGTCATTTCTGTGGGCATGTCTGCCACAGTCGAAAGTAAAAGCATTAACAAAACCTCCACCAACCAAAACCCAATAAAGTCACTCTTTGCATGCAGATTTTACATGTTGTGTCTGTGTTGTATTTGGCCAGAAGTTCACTTGCTTTTTGGGTTCTGTCTTTTGAGTTTAAACATTGAAAGTGAAGATTATGCAGATAATAGATGAGCTGTCTTTTCATTTTTTTTGTGAATTTTGTGCGGAGCCAGTGTCACTACTGACATTATAAATCTAAACGATGTTATTGTGGTATTTATTATTTATGGTAATAACATTCATTCTAACCATTCATTCTCAAAGGTCATGCAAAGCTCATAATAATAATAATAATAATACATCCACCAATGTGTCCTTGAGCAAGACTTGCTCCAGAGACGTACGACCTCTGATATAGCAATTGTAAGTCGCTTTGGATGAAAGCGTCAGCTAAATGAGTAAATGTAATAATAAGGTGTTTTTGTTTACTTTACCTTTTTAGAAATATGTTCCTGTATATCCTGGGACTGGTGCCTCTCTGGTTCACCTTTCGCTGGTACAGGGAAAGTAAAAAAGTGCCCAACAAGGAAGATAAATATGTCTACATCACTGGCTGTGACAGCGGGTTTGGTAATCTCCTCGCAAGACACCTAGACAAGCTGGGCTTCCCTGTGATCGCAGGCTGTTACACTGAGAAGGGCGAGGATGAGCTGAAGAAGATCGCCTCCGACAGACTTACCACCGTTCACATAGATGTCTCCGACTCTGAAAGTGTCAGCAAAGCAGCAGCTGCCATCGAGGCGTTGGTTGGACAGAAGGGTGAGTGGCTTTGAGGTGCACATTACACTGGTAACATTCAATGTTTGTATATCTCATGGGTATTATGTTAATCTCACTAACCAAGAGATATTTACAGCATTTGTAGAAAAATCTACGTGACTCAAGAAAATTCATATGCCATTTAATGTTTGATTAAACTTTTACATTTAATCCAACTTTAAGGGAATAGCTCAGCATTATTTCCCTTCTTGCTGAGAGTTTAGATGAGACGATTGATGCCAATCTCGTGTCTGTCTGTTCATTATGAAACTGTAGCCAGTTAGCTTAGCTTAGCATAAACTAGAAATTGGGGTCGATCACCTTAATGCGTTGGTGGTTGCTCATGGTGACAACGTTTCTTAGCTTTTTTTTCTTTCCGCTTTAACTTCCTGTGTACAGGATTCTTATCTTTGCAGGCCACTGTGAGTTCTGGTGTGTTTGTTGTCATCAGGACAGCCAGTGGAGACTCCAGGAAGTCTTTTTTTTTTTTAATTAATTTTAAACAATCAAGATGTAATGTATGCTTTAGAGGTGCTGGAAGCTGGATTTTGTTACCTTCAGACACAGCCAGGATAGGGTTTTCTCCCTGTATTCAGTTTTTATGCTAAGCTAACCAGCTGCTGGTCATAGCCTTACTGTACTGACATGAGAGTAGTATCAGTTGTCATTCTCAACTAACTCCAGGCAAGAAATACAAAGAAACCGTATTTCCTAGAGTCTCAAAGTATTCCTTTAACTCCAGGTTCATAAGTAACGCACATCATGAAGCAGTGACTTCACTTCTAGGTGATGCAAAGTGCAATGCATCTGAGTATTATCATTTGCGTCTCCTTGAGTTTTTTATTCTCTTGTTGTGGTTGCGCTGCTCCAGGCCTGTGGGCTGTTGTGAACAACGCCGGAGTCGCTCTGCCGTCTGGTCCCACTGACTGGCTCACTATAGAGGACTACAAGGCCATGATAGCTGTCAATCTGTGCGGTGTGATCGACGTCACACTGAGCGTCCTCCCTCACGTCAAGAAGGCCAAAGGAAGAGTGGTGAACGTCGCCAGCGTGTTTGGGAGAATCAGCCCGTTTGGTGGACCCTACTGCGTGTCCAAGTACGGCGTAGAGTCCTTCAATGACAGTCTGCGGTGAGTGTAGGGGCTACATGCACTTGTTGTTCTCCTGAGCTTCTTCTTGATTTACAGCGACTTCTGTGTGTTTCAGGTTAAACATGATACCGTTTGGAATCAAGGTGGCATGCATTGAGCCAGGCTTCTTCAAAACAAATGTGACAGATACAGGGATGATGAAAAACAACCTGAGGAAGCTCTGGGACAGATTACCTCAGGATGTGAAGAACGACTATGGACCAGGTTTCTTAAAGAGATGTGAGTTGCTGCACCAAACCTAGAGGAGATAATCTTCTGTTTTCAGTTAAAGCCTTGCTGTCACCTTCTCCATGGCATAAATCATAACTTTTTCTCTCCACTGTTCAGTTCAACTATTTTTATTCATTCATTTTATTTTTGCCATTAGAGGCAAAATCCTATAATAGATAACTTTAATTATTATGTCATGTCTCCTCAGGAAGGATACCAAGGGGGAAAACGTGCTTCATTCAGAGTCAATTTAATACCCAAAATCAACAAAGTCTGTTTAATAATAAACTTTATTTGTATAGCGCAAGGTTACAAAGTGCATATGGTCATGAAACACTCAGGAGAAAAGAAAGTAAAGTCTAATCACAACGCATAAAGACGGCATCAGGCAAAGTAAGCTAAGAGTACAATAATAAAACAATCACCTTGAAAGTAAATTTGTAAAAGTGGGATTTTAAGACAGATTTTTAAAATGGGCGCTGTTCTTGCTTCCCGCATCTCCACTGGCTGGTCATTGCAGAGTCTCAGAGCCTTGACTCCATAGGCACACTTACCTTTGCAACTGAATCTTGTCTGTTAGAGCTTTAAAAGTTATCAATAACATTTTAAAAATCAATTGTAGAAGGGAAAACAGATGACTGTGCGGAGGCAGTTCGAGGACAGATTACCATTTCAAACACTCGTTACTTGTGTCCAGATTCAAAGCCTGTAGACGCGTCTCTTTCCATGTAGATTTGTCCAGCTTATTCCAGATAGCGGCGCCATAACACTACTACAGGACAGCTGCTTTAATTCTGTTTACCATGCTGTCAATACCAGCCCTGTGCTGAAGTTTATTCTTTATAAGAGTGTTGCCTGTCATGAGACATGCAGGTCTGTTAATCACTCCTGGAATCTGGTCTAACCCTGTTCTGCCACATCGCAGTAGTGTTTCAGAATTCGACTTTTTCCCCTGGTAAACTTCCAGTCGATAGACCCAAAACATTGAATCATTACACACATTTTTAACTGAGGGGAAAAGGTCAGACATAAGAAATAAGCCAGAAGTATTGATTTTCTCACCCTTTATCGTCTTTAAGATGCACATTCGGTACTATAATGAATAAATTATTGACATTTAAGCTACAGTGTAGTAGAATTTAATGGATAATAGTTATATTGTTCTTTATAAATAAACATGGATAGATAGATACAGATACTCCAATTGTATTAATTTTTTTTTTTAAATGCTGATGAGTTTTCTTATGTCTGTCTTTCATCTTTAATGATATCAATTAAAGGTGCTAAATGCTTTATTCTAAGGTTCCCTTATTTCCCATAACTTATCATTTTTATGGAGCTAATTTTTTTTTGCCCACATGGGCAAGACGCAATTAATTTATTCAACAATAGAGAAAGTACTAACCTAAAAAAACAGCTGCAGTATCTTCACGGTCAAACCTTCAGACCATCACAGTATACAAAAAAAATCATGAAACATTTATTATGTAGCCCCTTCTGGAAAATCTAAATAAATACTTGAAGAAAATCTTGCCTTTTTCCCCCCGGGCTTTTGAGACAAAGTTAGCTAAATGAACTCTCAAATAATCATACTATGTACAGTACAATACATACAGTATGTTTACCTGTAGATAAATTGCACATTTTTGCTGGTTCCGCTGATCTGCCTTGCACTCACTAGCTTAGTGTTTAATTGCGATTCCTTATTCGCTAGTGTACCAATTGAACCATGTCTGTATTTTACCTATAATTGGGTCTAAATTCCTAAACTCTTTCCAAGAAACCTCCTAGGAAATTATTAGGAACTGATCAGGATTTTTTACTTAAATAATGAGTCGCCTTGTTGTGTATATAAACCACATGTGTGAAATGCTTCTTTCAGCTCTTGACAAGTTGGATCACAGGTTTAATCAGTTGACGGACAAGGACCTGATGAAGGTGGTCAGCTGTATGGAGCACGCCATCACTGCCGTTCATCCTCGCACTCGCTACTCTGTCGGATGGGACGCTAAGTTATTCTGGTTGCCTATGTCGTACATGCCATCCTGCATCTCTGATAGACTTTTCATTCAAGATGGCCTCAAAAAATTATATGCACCGTAGTTTTGTTATATCACTTGTGTGTTTTATTTTCACTGCAGAACATGTTTGAACCTAAAAGTTTACACCGTTGATGGCACCATATAAACATTTTGTTATAAAACATGTTTGCCTCTTTACTTTGTTTTTGACTTGACTCTGGCATTATCACGCCTGCCCTAATGATTATAAGATCAAAGGTAATGGCCTTTGACCACAGACAACTACATAAGGCATTATGATATTGATCTTAAACACTTGTTGAGTTGTAAAGCTTCAGCTCTTGATGGACTTTGGCTCCTCTGTTTCTGTTTTAACCTGCTCTTCAAATTGGTAACATTAATTTCCCATCAATATAACCTTTGGGCTGAGTTGGTGTGATTTCAGAGTGGATTTGAGGTAAAAGGGGGGAATGCAGTCATCAAAACCAGGGGTCATGTAGTCTGGTGTTGTCTGTTGCGCAACCCCCCCACGTTGGTGAAAAGGCCTGCTGCTCTATCCACTATGGACCTTGACTCTGCAGACAAACACACATGCGCAATCATCACACCCCAGCACAACTTCACGTTTCCAGTGTCTACTAAGAAAGGATCGTCACCCATTCTCTGAAGACACATTTTTCATGTAAACTGTTGCTATGGTATGTTTGCATTATTATCCATTTTTTCATAGCTTCAGTGAGGGTTCATGTGTGTTGATGCTCATTAGGAGCACCGACACAGCTGGCATCTGGAAGTTGGCTCTTTATTTATTTTTCATGAGTGCACTAATTGATCGATTTTAGTATATTTAGCACAAACCAGCTTAATGACATCTGATGCAGTCTGGTGGTTGTGTGATAATTGTTGCAACTTCCACTTACCTCTTGTGGTGTCCAGCCATGCAGATGGGTTTGGTTTATCTGTCTGTTTAGCTTCACAAAATGTAATTAGTACTTCTTTGTTTTTTCTTTTTTTTAAATGGTTTAAGCACCACAAACAACATTCAGTTCATCTCGTGTTATAGCACACCGCTGGAGTAAATATTCAGAGCCTTCACTTCAATAAAAGTCACAACAGCATGATGCAAAATTAAAACTCCTGTATTCACAATTTTAATTACTGAAGTAATATGTACTTAAAAGTATCAAAAGTAGTGCTGGAAAACCGACTCTGTGAGACTCATGTTATTATACATTATATTCTTGGATTAATGTTATGGACACATTCTTGTGTAAGTATTGCATTTTACTGTTGGTCGAGGTGGAGCTAAATTACTGGAGCTGAAGTGCTGTTGCATAGTTTAATTTATAACAAATATTTTTGTATGTAAAAGTAAAGTTAGTAATGGTAGTAGATAAATGTAGTGTAGTGAAAAGTAGTAATTTTAATATATATATTTTATGTAATGTATTCTATGCAATGGTGAACTGACCCATTATTTGCTGGACATTGTCATTTGGTCATATTTCCCTCAGGCTGAACCAATATTTTATTTACACTAAATTTTTCTTTTGCTGAATCTGGATCTATATAATTATAAGAATATGTTACTGTATAAGTCATTCACAATTAATCAGTTTATAATGGCTTGGAAAGGGCTGTATCATAGGAATATATACATAGACCCTGCTTTGAGTTAAAAGATGGTAAGCAGCATGTCGTGTGTAGGCGAGAGCGGACTGACCGAGAAACCACATACTATAAACATAGAGAAAAACTGAAGTTGAAAATCGATTGGTATGTGCCTTGATTGACTGGCCCATAGTGTGTGGTTACTGGCCCAGACGGGGGTGGGGCGTGGTCGTTTTAATATGATTAGCTATGTGAATCAATCACATTCCACATGTGCGAAAATGTTTTGCAACGTTTTGCTACAGGTTGAACAACATGTTTCCTTGAAACAGTGTGCAACGTTGCGTAAGTTCAACGGGCTTCGAGGTAATGTTTTCTCCTTTATATACAGTCTATGGTTTTCTCCCACTTGGTGGGTGTGTCAGAGGTGTTACCCAGTTAGCTGCAACAAGTATGTAAACCATAGACCGTATATCAAAAAGTCAGTCAGCCGCACTGCACTTGACACAACAGGGTGTTCAAGGCACCACCGTTTCCGTTGGAATAAACGCTTTGCTACGTTTTGTCGGGGCTGAACGGGGCTTCCCGTTTTAAACAACATTTGTGGCCATTCGAGTATAGATTGCTGAGTGCACTTTAATGCACTTTAATGCACCATGACGGCCTTATTAGCGCGCCAATGCTTTACCGTAAAGAGCGATGTATACGCGCAATAGATTTTGAAATGTAGATAGCGCAACCTTGCCTCAAAATTATATACTTTTCTTTAGGTGCTGCTGCTACTTACGGCAACAAATAGCGGAGACAACAGTGATCAGAAGTTTTGGCAACTTGTTGCGTTACTTTTTTAAAACTGTGCTTTTACGCTTTATTCGAGTATTGTGTGGCCCAGTAATCTACTTTAAACGTCGCTGCATTTTCTATTCATACCTTCCCTACTTAAGTAGTCTGTTATCTAGTGTGCATTTTGCTACATTAACCGAAATGAGCGGTCATCCAAGATGTGCGCGCGGCTTAGGAAGAGCGCTTTAACCGGTGTTCCTGTGCCAAATATTAAAGAGAAGAAAATCAGCCAATAGATTCTGATTCTGATATTCATTGATTCTGATATATTTACAGAATCCTCTGGTTGTCCAGAGCATGGCTTTATTTTGATGGAAATTAGTCTGTTTATTTTCTCTAATTCGCATTGGTTGTCATTGGTTTTACAGCAAAGTCCGACTCACGAGGCTACCAGCGGTTATTTATTCAAATAAATATAATAAATTTTTAGATGCATAGGCCTAAATATGGGTGGATAAAACTGTCCCCGTTGGGCTTTACGCGTGACGCACAGGTGAGCACATACTCCCGTGTTATTGCCACAATAATTATTTGCGTGATGTACTGTACTTGCATAAGATTCTCAAGAATGCATGAATAACGGTCTCTAAAGACCCGGAGCCCCGTACAAATGCTTTGGACAAATTTCCAGCTATGTTTTTCCCCAGTCCACCCCTGTGTGCAGGGTGTATGCATTACTGTCATGACCAAATTAACCCACTAGAGGCCCTGAAACAGAACTTACCTATTGTGACAACTTGGTTTAACACATTTATTTAGGGATATGCACCATGACACAGGCCTGGGTGTTCAAATGTTTTTTTCAATATGTGAAGGGTTTTGTGTTGAAGTTAAAATGGGGTGTTAAGTAATGCTCAACATTTCAGCAGTATCACATACCAACTTACACATAAGTCAGGGTTCAGTATCTTGCCCAAGGACACTTTGACACGCAGCATTGAGGAGCCGGGGATTGAATCGACCATCCGATTAACGGGCAACCCGCTCTATCTCCTGAGCCACAGCCGCCCCGACTAGTAAAAGCGCTCAACAGTGAGTGGTAGACCAGACAGTTGGTTGCAATTTGCAACCTCACCACTAGATGTCACTAAATCCTACACACTTAACCTTTAAACGGAAGAACTAAATCATAAGTTTTTTCACTCAGGTATCAACTGTCAATCTAACAACATATTTATTTGAGGTATGTTGATTTCAGTGTTTGCATTATTTGCATACATATTCACATTTTTATTTACCTTGTGTTGAATATTTACATGAAAATTGAAAAAAAGGTTTCTTTTAGGTAATCCTGTCACACCTGGCCTTAACATGTGCTTTACTTCTGGCCATTCTCGCTGCCATCCGCTGGTACATCAGAGACTCTTACAAGGTCGACGGCTTCAACCAGAAGCATGTGTTCGTCACAGGCTGTGACAGCGGTTTTGGGAATCTGCTGGCCAGACAGCTGGATGAAAGGGGTTTCCACGTCATAGCTGCATGTCTCACAGAGAAAGGTGCAGCAGATTTGGCAGCATCTGCCTCCTCCAGACTGAAGACCTTCCTGCTGAATGTTACAGACAGTGCGAGCATCAGGAAGGTGGTGGAGTTTGTGAGCAAAGAGGTCAAGGAGCGAGGTGAGCCGGGCGGACGGGGGGGGGTACACACACAGATAGGGTGCCGGCCAGAGTGAGGCACTTGAGGAGATAAAGCCAACCTGGACCATCCCCTCACCAACTTATCATCCTCCTACTGATATGTTTAACCCTCTTTTTAAAGAGGAGGGAGAACATACTTACCTCATAGGAACAGTAAAGCTGCTTCAAACATAAATCTGAACTACAGATTGGTCATTTTATTTAAAAGTTGATCCTGAACATGATGGAAAACCTTTTAGAAGCGTTTTAGACCTTCATTGAATTTAGAGAACATGCCTGGTCTGTCTGGGTTGGGTTGAGTAGTGGACACAACTCTCAGACCATGCTAACACTATATACTAATCTCCATAGTTCTGTATGATATTTTGGCATTTCAACATCAGTGAGATGAGTGCAATCAAGCCCGCTGGGGAAACTCAGCCCTATTTTATAGAAATGTCTCTTACACATTTTAGCCTTTAAAGTCAGATTTTGCCTGACGCATATCGATGAAGAATGAATGAGATTAATTGCTAACTGCCAGGATATTTCTGATATTTGTGAAGATAACACATTAAGAATATTCTCTTTAGCAAAAGAGAAATGAAGATCAAAAGTTAATAGCTGCGGGCAGTCATCCTGCCTCTTTCATCCGCAGGCCTGTGGGGTCTGGTGAACAATGCCGGCAGGTCCATACCCATCGGCCCAACAGAATGGATGCATCTGGAGGATTTCACAAAGGTTTTGGATGTGAATCTGATAGGAGTTATTGATGTGACGCTCCAGTTTCTGCCACTGCTGAAAAAGGCCCAGGGCAGGGTGGTTAATGTGGCCAGTGTCCTGGGTAGACTGTCTCTCACTGGTGGAGGGTACTGCATATCCAAATGGGGAGTGGAAGCCTTCTCCGACTGCACCAGGTAGTGGAAAGACAACAGATTTATCACACATCCTCTTAGATTTAGGACATATAGCACATAGTATATAGTAAAGGGGATAGAAGAAACAATACAAAAAAGTACACAGATGTCACCGCTGTCAGTATGAGTTGTCACCAAATGCATCTAGAGTAAATAGTACCACTGCAACAATGTAAAAATACTCACTGTTTCTAGTTCATCATTCAAAATCCTACTTAAATAAAAGTACAAAGGTATCATCAACAAAATGTATCAACATGTATCAAAAGTACTTGTTCTGCAGAAAGGTGTGACTGATTTTGTATAAAAATGTATGACATTAGTTATTAGAATGTAGTGAAGTAGAAGTATAAAGTTGCATGAAATACACAATTCAAGTACATGTACTTCAAAATTGTACTTCAGCACAGTACTTGTAATGTAAATGTATTTTGTTACTTTACACCACGGCATTCAGTTGCAAAGGGCTGAAAATTGTAGTCATGTGCAAACTTATTAATTAATTACTTAATATTAACATGATGTAAAACTACTTTTAGAGGGAAATCACAGACAAAAAAAACTCATTAAAGTTACTTTAAAGAAACATAATGGTTTGCTTCTTCTGCACAGGAGGAACATGAAGCAATTTGGCATCAAAGTGAGCATTATCGAGCCGGGTTTCTTCAAGACTGCTGTCACCCAGCTGGATCTTATTGAAGGTGACCTGAAGAGGCTGTGGAACCGCCTCCCCCAAGATGTCAAAGACTCTTATGGAGCTACATACATTAATGACTGTGAGTGGAAGCACATTTAATTACATTCAGCCAAAAGGTCAAACAAATACTCTAAACGACTACTTTGTTTTTCCCGTCAGATATGAAGTCTCAAGACATCTGCATGCAAATCTTGTGCAGTTCAGATATCTCTAAGGTGACCTGGTGTATGGAGCATGCGCTCACAGCTCGCTTCCCACGCACACGTTATAGTGCTGGCTGGGATGCTAAGCTTTTTTGGATTCCTCTGTCTTATCTCCCTTCATTTGTGTCAGACTTTCTTATGACGGTGCTTCTTCCTTTACCTAAGGGTGACAGAAAAGTCTAGCTCTGTGAAATAGTTTGTATGATGATATTTTGCTGTCCAAAGTGTATGTATGCATGGAAACCGGCAGCCAAAAGTGATAAAATCAAGTATATTGTGACAATATGGTAAAAAAAAAAAGAGTGTCAAGACTGTGTTACAAAATAGGAAATTTATTCATTCATGTCTCACCAGCAGCAATTTAAACCATATGGGCATATTGTGGATGATCACAGATACAGTTTTTATTGTCCTCATTACAGTACAAAATAAATCATTCTGTGAAGTTAAGAATTTATTCACCGTGTCTATAAAATGCCTGTCTACATCTGCATCCTCAGGTCATGTGTTGCCCTTCAAAATAATCAACTACATACATTAATTTCCACGCGACAAACATGGGCACATTCAAGTATTGTTCCAAAAATTTTGGCCATTGTTCCAATATTATTGCTAAAACAAATTATCAGGTTGATTTAAAGTCAGACAGTCAGGGAACACAAGGTAGAAATGAGTTTGATTAAGTACAATAAGTATGCTTTGCACTCATATTTTAGCTCATGCATCTGTTTATACCGTTCCTTATTCAAAGATATATTCTTTGAAGAATAAACGCCATAAGTTAAAATCCAATTATCGCTTTTGTTGCGCTTCTGGCCATGAAATGAGGTATATAAACATGAAAGATGAAGTAAATACATCTCCAGTTTTGTTCAGTGGCAAAATGTCATTACTCAACACACATCTCTAGTAACCTTTGATCATATAAGTACTGTACATTCAAAATGCAGCTCACTTTTTATGTTATTGTGTTTATGCTGAACTATTCATAGGATCTATTTCAAAGATATTTTCTGACAAAATCTTACTGTTCAAATTTACAAATATACAACTTATTTATTAACATGTCTATCAGCAGCTTCAGTGCAAAGATATACATACATTGTACATCAGAATAATGAAAACATTAACACAAGAATTGGCATAAGAAATGTCAGAAGGCATAGTCACAGAAGACTTTTTTTCATCATTCTATGGAAATGTATTTCTCTTTCCTAAAACAATTTGAGTTTTGTACACAGGCTGCATAAAAAAATAAATTCTGTGCAAAGTGTGTTTCTTTTTTTCGATTCCCGTCTGTGAGAGATGGGTTAAATGTCGCTGTCCTCTTTCACGAGGTTGGCTGTGTCTTTGAAACTGTCCTCGGTTGGCGAAAACGTGCTGGGGCGATCTCTCTTCGGAGGTTTAGTGGGGGGGACAAATGGAGAGGGCTCAGGGGCAGAAGGGTCCCTACTGCTTCCAACAGGCTTTTCATCCTTCATCTAAAAAATGATACAGAGGGTAAACAAGCTGAAAGAATACTTGCACGTTCTGTTTTTGTTTTAAATAAAATCGTTTTCCAAACTTACCTCTGAATATGAAGGGTTTTCAAATGTTGTGCTTGGCGTTAATTTCCGCTTGAACAAACTCCACTTTGACTCCTGCAAACAAACACAGACGTCACTCTTGAATAATTTAGCTCACATATTTTTTTATATGGACGTTCTGTTTACAAGACACTTACCTGCTCAGGTTTGGTGCTGACAGAAGATGATGTGTTCACAACGGCCACACTCTGAGCTCCGCGATACGCTGGGTTCACAAAGTTGTTCTCCAACTGTTCACCACTCACATTAACAGTCACCTATGAGAGGTATTTTGTTATGTAAGTTTATCAGCTATGACAAATGAAGTAAATGGCCTAACTAATAACATTAAATAAAATAATCAGGAGGCACACGCACGTCCATAAATTCTCTGCAAAACATGCCTGCATTGTTAAAAGTTGTTTTCTTCAATTTTACATGGGAAATGTTTTCACCACAAACACTCTTCCCAAGAACCTAAAGAAGCTGCTGTGTCCATGCGGAATAAAAGAAACATTTGGCTCTCTTGGCCAGCACTTGTTAAATTTTATGTTACATCAACAAATACCATTGCTATCACTTTCTGTACTACTTCAAAATGTGCCTCTTGATGCTGGAAACAAACCCGTTGTGGTACAAATTAAAATCCTAACTTTGTTAGCTTTGGCAGAAATCCCACATCACAGTTCCCATCAAAATCAATTAATGGATAATTGGCCAGAAGTCGATTTATTCACTATATTTCAATGAAATTGGTTCATGCTATATACTCTTGATATGTCCTGCTCACAAACTGTCTGCCTCTTTGGTGGGATCAAATACATATATGTGATTATTGGTTATTATGTAAAACTAAAATAAAAAGATTACTTTCTGTTTGAAGATGCTGAAATTCTGAAAACCACTGACCCATGTACAGAATGGTTTGTTTGTAAACTACTGGAAGTCTTAGTTTATATGTAGCGTTAATGTGTTCATTCATTTATAAGTACCTGTGTGGCATGAATGACTGCAGGATCACCGGACACTCCAGGATCGGTGGCGTACAACGGGTTCTCAAATGTGACTGGCTGCCTCCCAGTTTCGATGGCAAAAGTATCGTCCTATGGGCATAATATATTGATAAGATTGCTGATAAGATAAGACAAACGAAAGATTAATTATTTCTCTGCTGCTGCTGATACAAGCAGTTCTAGAAGGACTACTAGGATGAAAGTTGTCAATAAACTCCACCAGAGCACTTGTTTGAGTCAAAAATGCTGATTATGCACTTTCAGTAACTTGGGAAAATTTTAACTGCAAATAAACATCGTTCCAGGTCTCACCATCTGCATGGCTGTTTCAATGAATGACACTCCAATGTGTGACGGTCCAAGATCAACATTATCACCTGAGCGAAATGTCACCCCATTCCCCGTGTCACCGGACTTCACTAGGCTGCTGAGGCTAGAGATAAACAAAGCACTCCCGTTTGAACTTTGATTCTGAAATTCTGCGTGCAGCAACTTTAGTACAGATTTCACTCATAAGCACAAACTCTGAAAAACAAAGGCACGATACCTGGGTAGTTTGGGCATTGAGGGGATGAAAGATCCTGTTCGTTTGTAGTTGAGGAAAACTCCAACAGCCAAAGCTCCAGTAATCAGGATGATAATGACGGCCAGTAGAACGGCCACAGCTAAAGAAAAAGAAGAAAATATTTTAATTGGATGCATTTTTAACACTAGCTACTAAGTGCTGATCATAGGAATTCTCACTGTAAACATTTTGCTGACTAGTCCATGTGCTTAGGATGGCCCATTAGTTTGCAAAGCCATTAGAGAAGTTAAACAGTGATCTATTCTAAATATTTCTTGTCTATTTATTAAGGAAATGCATGAGTCAACATCTTCAGCAATTGCTGAGCCTGTTTTCTAAGCTGTTTTGTTGACCTGGGTATCACTTCACGCATTTAGCCTTGATCTGCTCCAGTAGAGCCAACAGATTGTGACTGTTATTGTGCAGCAGCTCCCACATGTCAACCAGTGCATGTGTGAAGGACTACCACAGGATTCTGGTTGGAAGGATTTGTTTAGCCGACTCTTCCAAGTTAAAGGAGAGAGAGAGTATCTAGAATTGAACTGTGAATGAGAGTTAAAAAATAAAAGGTTAGACAACGGGTGAATTACTGTACCTGTTCCTGCTGGAGCCCCACTCGACTTCCCCATCTCACAATAACTGCCCACATAACCATATGGACATCTGCAAGTTATGATAAATCTTGTTTTATTACAGGTGAAAACAAACATCTGAAAGTGCATTTGAAAAAGGTGGTATATCAAAACTAAATATCAGGCATTACTGGGTGTGACTGATGGGGAATCAATCACTCACTGGTGTAAATATCACCTACAACTAAACTCACTTGCACTTGGGCAGACCGCCTTCATCAGTGTAGCAGGTTCCACCATTCATGCATCTACATGCAAGGGGCATTGCAACGGGTGCCTCAATGGCTGAAGGAGCAAAAAGCCAGGCATACACAGAATCAGCAACAACAACATCACAGTTTCACAAAACCACACGGGAGCAGCCAGGCACATGTGAAGAATGGATTTATGAAAGCAAAATGAGATGCAACACAATAGCCAACACAAGAGTGCAGGCAGCAGCTGAACTCAGGCCGTTGTTTACCTGCATCACATTCATTGGAGTTAAACACCAGAGAGGACCCTTGCGGGCAGGCGCAGGTGTATCCACCGGGCCGGAGGAGACACAGATGACTACACACATTCTTACAAGGGTTGGGTACTGAAGAGGAAAGAGCAAAGACAGTAACAATGTTAGATATTTTTCAAAAGAAAGTCATTTCTGGAAAAACACCCTTTGAAGTCAATAAATAGCAAGTTGAAAACATTTTGTGACACACAACTCATTACTAAATCTTTATTAGAGTTTGTCTTGATCGTAGCTTTTTGTTTCACAGACTATTTTTGGTAAGTTAGTAAGTTTAGTAGGCAAATCCAGTCAACTATGTAAAAGTGGTGTCATGTATGCAGCTCTCTCTGCTTGATACCTTCTGCATATTAGATCTAAAATTGCAAAACTTTGTGTGAATTCAAATCATTGCTGCATTAACTGTATGCTCATTCTTATAGATGCCACTGTTTTGGGGTCTTTTTGACAGCTTGGGTTTTTTTAACAGGCTATTTAGGTTGTGTTGAGAATGAACTCTTTGATTTGATTGGATTCAATTTTGCATTGTGATCTTGGCAAAGTCTGCAAAATCTGATGCATAATGTCGTCAAATTCATTCATACATACTGAGAACATTTTCTTAATCTGTCTTTCAAGCCTTTTGGCAAAAAAAAGTCACTAAATTGTCTTGCTTGAAAGGCATGAGTGTGTCAGCAATAACATTTCTCTTATTCTGAACAGCCGTTATATGAATCCCTCTGTGTTCTGACCTGACTGGTTGTGTCGGTGCTCCTGGTAAATGCGGACTTGAGTCAGCCAGGGGTTGATGGTTAGGACTTTGACTTTATTTCCTTTCCCAAACTTGTTAGTCTTCCAGACTTCACCTTTCTCTTTTGTTGTCCAGTACACGTGCCCCTCAAACACATCCAGACTGTAGGGATATCCAATGTCTGAAACAGAGAAAACACAATACTTTAAATGCACATTGTACTTAATCTTAAATCACTTGCGCTGTTATTTGAATAAAATACTTGATATATCCCATGAAACTTCATATCTGTTTGTCTTTCTACAGACTGGCAGTGTTCTGACCTCCTGATATGACGATCTTCCTGTCTGTGCCATCAGGCTTCATGGACTCAATGATATTTTCTTTGGAGTCACACCAGTAGATCCTATTTCCATTCACATAGTCCAGAGCCAGTCCAGTAGGCCA